GCTCGGCCGCCTGGCCTCTGGCCCCGTGTGACAACCTGGATGTCTTCTTTGCACCCCACCTGTAGTGCTGTTCCCTCGCCACACCAATGCCAGTGCTCGAGACAACACCATCAACCTGATCCACACGTTCCGGGACTACCTGCACTACCACATCAAGTGCTCCAAGGTGAGGTGCCAGCGTCATGGGCAGCTATGCCTGTCACCTGGACAAGGCTGTGCCGTCTTAACTGCATGGTTCTAGAGACCTTAAGAAATCCTTCTGGGGATGGAGCGATAGCACAGCGGGTAGGGCATTTGCCTTGCACGCGGCCGACCCAGGTTCAATTCCCAGCATCCCATATAATCCCCCGAGCACCGCCAGGAGTAATTCCTGAGTACATGAGCCAGGAATGACCCCTGTGCATCGCCGGGTATGACCCAAAAAAAGAAAAGAAGCCCTTCTCCCTCTCAACCCTCCCCCCCACACACACACATTACAATTCCCTCCAACCAACACATCCCTGCTTCACTCACAGTCGGCCTGTCCACTTCTCCCAGTGACAGGAACATGTTCCTCCTGAACCTGACCTCGTGCCCCTGCTCTTCATTTCCCCAGGCCTATATTCACACACGTATGCGGGCAAAAACATCCGACTTCCTCAAGGTGCTGAACCGTGCGCGCCCGGATGCGGAGAAGAAGGAAATGAAAACAATCACGTGAGTGGGGTGGCTGTGCCCTCAGAGGGCATAGCAGTAGATGCACTGTCTCACCTCCCAGTGGACCTGGCTGGGTTTCCTTTGCAACTGGACTGGCTGGGGTGCTGGTCGGCTTGATGTAAGAGGGAATGTTTGGCTTGAGGCCCTGTAGATCCCCTGGTGGCTTAGGTGTGTCAGAGGCCATGAGCATGAAGCCCAGCATCTTGCTCTGCAGAGGCAGACCTGGTGGGCAGGCAGCAGGGGTACCGGCCTCTGATCTTGCACAGAACTGGAGAGCATCTTCTCCCCGATTCTCTGCAGGACCCAGCAGAGAAATAGGCAGGAGGGGAGAGGCCAAGGCTGGGCCCTCACCAGCCTGTCACTCACCTTACAGGAAGTCTGGGCCCTATAACTGAGCAGGTGTGGCTCTACCTGTGTCTCCTTTCCCCGTGGGCACAGTCTTTAGAAACTGAGCCCACCAGATGGCCGCTGCCCAGGGTCTCCAAGAGGCTGCTTCCGATCTATAGTTCCCAGCCAGTAGATGGCCTCGGGGATGTGCAAGGTGGGCACTGACTGAGGGACAGGGAGAGAAGACTCCTGGGGCCCAGTCCTGAACATACTGTCCATGACCTTCCTGCCTAGGACTCAGCAAGGCAGCACTGCCGCTCTGAACTGTGTGACTTGGCTCTCAGAGATGGCCTCCGAAAATGGGTGGGGGGACATGGGGACAACCATCTGCATCCACCTCAAGAGCCTGTTCCAAAGGGCATGGGAGCACAGAACCCCAGGACCCTGGCCGCAGGACACATCCAGTGAAACCTGCTGCTCTGAGGAATGTCCCTGAGAGCTTTTCCTTGTTGGGGGAGAGGTCCCAAAATAGGGCTTTCTTTCAGGGTGGGTGAGACATTCAGGGCAGGGAAGGTTGTGCCCTGATTTCCCTGCTGGGTCCAGACTGCTTGACCAGACACATAAACCCTGTCCAGGAACCAGCCTGATGGCAGAAGCAGCCCTCAGGGGAGTTAGTGGGTGAGACAGGAACCCGCGGGCCCACACATCCTCTGAGTCCAGGGCACAGCTATCACCTAACCATGGAAAACACCTTTCTGTCATCCAGGAAGGCTGGAGAGTGCTGCTCAGGGCAGCCTGTATGAGGAGCTGCTGTCTTCAGAAAGGGGTGCATGAGCTCTAAAGGGCTTACGCCCAGTCTGAAATGCAAGCAGAATGGGCCAGTGTTTCCCATGTGGGGGGCAACACAGCCCACCAGGGATGATCTAGGGGGCGGTAGTCACCTCAGGAGCAGAGGCAGGGACTGAGTCTTTTTTTTTCTGAGAAGGAGGCATCAGGCCCAGGCATTTGACTGATATTTAGGCCCTCTGGGAGTGGGGGCAAGTGGTTCTCCCGTCTCAACTTGACACATTTCCTGCCCTTGTAAGCGTAGCACAGAGAGTACCCAGCTCCAGAGCAGGGCATGGGCGGGACGCGGCACCGGAAACCCACCCTCAGACTGCCTCTCTGCTTTCCCAGGGGGAAGACGTTTTCATCCCGCTAGCTGCTTGGGAACAGGAAGAGGACGCGGCTGGCAACCGAAGGCTGGAACACTTGCTACTGGATAATCGTAGCTTTTAATGTTGCACCTCTTCAGGTTCTTAAGGGATTCTCCATTTTTGGTTCCATTTTGTACACGTTTGGAAAATAATCTGCAGAAACGAGCTGTGCTTGCAAGGACTTCATAGTTCCCAGGAATTTAAAAAAAAAAAAAAAAGGAAAAAAAGAATTCCGAATTTCACTTGATCAACTTAATTCCTTTTCTTTATCTTCCTTCCCTCACCCCCCCCCCTCCCTCCCCACTTCTTTTCCAAGCTGTTTCGCTTTGCAATATGTTACTGGTAATGAGTTGCAGGATAATGCAATCTTAACTTGTTTTCTCCTAAGTATTTGAGTTCAAAACTCCTGTATCTAAAGAAATACGGTTGGGGTCATTAATAAAGAAAAATCTTTCTATCTTACCTGAGAATTTGCTGGGTTTCTGGGCTCTGCCTACAATGGTGGGTGGGGATGCAAAGAAATAGTCTCCATCTTTAAACCCTGAGGATTGACCTAGAAAGCCTTAGGTTTGGCTTCCCTCACAGGGGAGTCGACTCGTGACTGGGCCCCTGAGCAGGGCCCCAAACTGGAGGCGCCCAGGCACACAGAACAGTTTTCTGACTGGGGCCTCTCTCAGGAATAGCATGGAGCGATAGTACAACAGGTAAGGCGTTCAATCCCCGGCATCCCATATGGTCCCCCAGCACCGCCAGAAGTAATTCTGAGTGCAGAGCCAGTAGTAACCCCTTAGCATCGCTGGGTGTGACCCAAAAGGAAAAAAAAAGTGTAGAGCATTTCCCAAAGTTTGTTCCATGGAACCCCAGTGGGTAGGTCTGAGGGAAATAGGCTGGCCTCAGTTTATCTTTCCCACCCGACAGCCTGGCACTCCACCAAACTCACTTGAGGAGAGGCTGTTCTGGCCAGCGACACAATCTGGCCAAGGAAGGCCACCAGCAGTAAGCTTCTCTGTGGGAGTGGGGCCTAGTGAGGGTCCCCCAAGAACCTTGGGGGTACCTGCAAGACTCTGAGGAGACCCCAGCCAGGGTGTCCACAGCCCCACCTGGCGTGGATTTCACGGTTCAGTCGGAACTCGAGTGCGTGTTCCCATGTGTCCTGGCCACCACAACCCTTTTAGCTGTTACCCAGGCCCAGCAGGCTGTTTTAGGGAGGTAGGATGGACCATAACGTGCTACATCCTGGCTTATTTCTGTTCTGTGCTCAGGGATCACTCCTGGAGGGGCTGAGGACCATATGAGATGCCAGGGATCTAAACCAGGTCAATTGTGCAGACAACTGCCCTGCCCACTGTACTATCCAGTGCCCCAGCCAACACTTTTGTCGTCATTGTTAGGTGTTTCTGTGGGGGGTTTTGTTGCTTCTTTTTTTTTGTCTGGGTGGCAGCAGAAGGAGGTCTACAAGCAGAGGCCAGGGGATGCCATTTCTGGCAATTCTTGGCTCACCCGAGGGCCACCCAGGCTGATTTCCAAGATCGTACCCAGCCCAGGGGACTGTGGAATGCTGGGCTTGAGACTGCTGGAGGCATGCCCACCTGTTCTTCCTTTGTTAATGGACCTGTGTAGAACAAGTCCTTTAACTTTTTTTTTTCCTGTTTTGGATCACATCCAATGATGCTCAGGGGTTAAGGGGTTACTCCTGGCTCTATACTCAGGAATTACTCCTGGCATTGCTTGGGGTACCATATGGGGATGCTGGGATTGAACCTTGTCGGCCACATGCAAGGCAAATGCCCTACCCTCTGTACTATCGCTCCTGCCCCAGGGCCTTTAACCTTTACCTGTGGATACACACTGGTCTGTGAACTGGTTGTTGAAGATCACTGTATAGGCTGTGGACGCCATGTGAATGCAGCATACCCTTCAAGGGTAACTTCTGGTCTCATTTAGTTTTCATTACAGTTTTTTCATCTCCAGGGGCCTCCCAAGCCTCCACTCTTGGGCCAGCTCCCCGTAGTAGTCACCTCAGGCCTGGGCAGCACCCCTACCACTTCCCAGAGCTACCCCTTCCTCCAGCCCATGTCAGTACACTGACTGGGGGTACAGAGGGGAGGGCACTTGCCTTGAATGCAGCCCGGCACCACATACGACACACACCCCCCCCAGCCCCACCAGGAGTGATCCCTGAGCACAGAGCCAAGAGTAAGCTCTGAGCACTGCTGGGTATGTCTGTCCCCCCCCCCCCCCCAAAAAAAAAGAAACCTGAAGGTCACAGATTTTGGAAGCCATTTGTCAATTACCCAGACTTATGTGAACTTCACTTAGCTGGGTATGGGGGGTGGTTCAGGAAAAAAGCCCTGTGAGAGCTGACCCCCTCGGTGGCTGCCACAGCAGTCGGAATAGAAAGCTTGAAGCTCCTAGGTCTCCACAGGATATTCTGGAAGCACCTGTTTGCACTGGGCATGGGGCAAGGTGGGTCCAGAGGCCATTTTGCTACCTTTATTATTTATTTATTTTTAAGAAGCAAATGGGCTGGAGCGATAGCACAGTGGACGGGGCATTTGCCTTGCATGCAGCCGACCTAGCTGGCCCAAGTTCGATTCCTCCGCCCCTCTCGGAGAGCCTGGCAAGCTACCAAGAGTATCTCGCCTGCACGGCAAAGCCTGGCAAGCTCCCCGTGACATATCAATATGCCAAACACAATTAACAACAAAGGCTCACAATGGAGAGAGACGTTACTGGGCCCGCTCGAGCAAATCGATGAACAACGGGAGGACAGTGCTAAGAATCAAATAGGAGCTATTAGGGTGTTGCAAGCCCTACTCACGCAGGGATGTTAATCACAAATCATGCAACTCCAGTCATCGTGCTCTCTCTGCCATCTGGTTAGAGGAAGAGCCATGGATTATCCTACCTGACGATCACCCCCTTTATTCTTACTCAGCCTGTTCTCACCCACCCCAGCTGAGCTAACCCCAGAAGGGTTATTTAAGGATCTTGCATTACACACAGCCAACCCAGTTCTATCCTCAGCACCACCAGGGGTCAGTCCTGAGTACAGAGCCTAGAGTAATACTGGATGTGGCCCAACCCCACCCTCAAAAAAGGGAGGTGGGGAGAGAATATTTGGGATTTCGGTGAACAAGAGCTTCACATTTGATCCAACCTGTTCAATCCCATCTGTATTACCATAGTGGAAACAGCATTGCCAAATACTCTGCACCGCCACAGCTGCCCACACCTGTGTTCCAAACCCTGACACAACCCCCAGTGCTTCCAGCTGAGTTGGCCCCTGGCCTGATGAATCTGGCCACAAAGCACATGGATTTTCTCTCTAATCCAGTCTTCGCTGAAAGGCTGGTGTGTCTGGCTATCAGCTCTGCGAACGCGGCAGCGGAGGTCCACCAGATCATCTTCGTAAACGCAATCCCACTTGGCAGGGAGAGATCGTACAGCTGGGAGGGCGCTTGCCTTCCACGCTGCCGAACTGGGTTCAACCAGAGCCCTTCCAGGAGTGATCCCTGAGCACAGAGCCAGGAGTCAGCTCTGAACACAATGAGGGTTGCTCCCCAAATACAAAAAAAAAAAAATCAGCTGGTACCAGGACTTGAGCTCTTTAGAATCCTGAACTTCCTACATTTCTCAGATGCCCTCTGTGTATTCATTCATTTATCAGGACTCTGCCTGCTGGCCTCTTAGTGGACGGCCCTGGCAATAGAGTGAGACATGGCCTGGAGCGTTCATGGCAGCTTCCGCATCACGGCCAGTGTTTGCTCTGATTGCCCTCACTCCTAGTAAGTTCGAACTCAATGCACTCTTTGCCAGTAGCAGAGATTAGGTTTCTGAAAAGTGCAATGGGTAGTATTTGTTCGGTACCCTTGGATCTGGAGGTGGACAGGAAAGGAGTTGGGGCCACACCTAGTGGTACTCAGGACCTATTCCTGGCTCTGTGCTTGGAAGTGACCCCTGGCGGGGCTGCAGCAATAATAGAGGGTGGTGTATTTGCCTAGCCAGGAAGCGGGCACAGGTTCAATCCCCGGTACCCCATGGGATCCCCCAAGCCCTCTAGTAGTGATGCCTGAGTGTAGAGCCAGGAGTCAGCCCTGAGCACCGGCCAGCTGTGGCCAAAAACAAAAAATAAAGAAGCGACTCCCGATAGGACCATTGGTACCTCTGGTCACCTGTGTGCAAAGCAAGCACCCTCATTACCATCTCTGCCCTGTCCCCTGTACTGTCATCCAGATCCTAGACAGGTTTCTTTATCAGAGCCTTGTCTAGTTGGACATAGCACCCCTTCCTTACAAGGCTTTTTCAATTTCTTTGATTTTAGTGTGTGGAGGCCACACCCAGCCGTATGCTAATGCTGCTTCTGGCTTGGTGGGTGCTGGGGGTTCTCAGTGAGTGATGCTGGGAGCACCACACCATGCTGGGGGTTGAACCCGGGCCTCCCATAGCATGCAAGGCCTACACTGAGACCTCTATGAGTCACCTCCCTGGGCTGGAATGGGTGCTGTGCGTGGGCAAGGCCCAGGTTCAATCCCTGGCATCCCACAGTCCCCTGAGCCTTTGCCAGCATGACCTCCGTAGGCACTGAGCCCAGAATAGCTCTGAGCATTGCCAGGTAGGGCCTCCAAAAATAAACAAACACATGAAAAGAGAACAGATAAGTACCCAACACATCAGAGGCATTTCAGTGCCTATAAGCATAATTGCTAATGCCATCTAATAAATCCTGGTTCCACTTCTATGCACGCAAGGAAGGGGATCAGGAGGGGCAGGATGGCGAGGGAAGCAAAGTCCAACTGAAGCGAAACGATCATTCTATCTGGGGATTTCCCAGGTAAATTTCTCCTAGACAGGCCATTTCCCTACCTGGGTGGCTCCTAAGACTGCCCTAGGGGCGTGGGGGGCAGCAGTGGAAACCCTCGTGCGGGCATCAAGGAGGGACCTGGAGAAGCTAAGCCTGGCAGGAGAGGAAATAAGATTAAAGGTCTGAGAGAAGGCAGGAAGCGGAGCAGGGAGGGAGGCGGGAGGGCACTCTTGGCACTGCCATTCATTCCCTCTCATCTCGGCCTGCAGAGCCTCACTCCAAGCAGCAGTTCCTTCTGAGGCCCAGCCCCAGGCCCAAAGGGTTCTGGGAGCTCATGAGGGTTCACGCCACGCTGTGTCCTGAGGAGCACTCAAAGCCACCATCATTTTTGTGTTTCTCTAGGAGTCTGTCTCTGACCCACAGCCCTCACTGGAAACGCTCAGGGGCAGCCTTGCAGCAAAACCGTCAGTCTCAGGACCATGCTCGGCAGACTCAGAAGTGCTGCAAGCTTGGGGAGGCCAAGTAAGACCCTCCCGCACCCAGCACGCTCTTAGCACCCCGACCTCCACAGCCAGTTGCACACCCCAAGGACCAGGAGAAAAGTCCAGTTCCCTCTCCTGGCAAAGGGAATGGAGGAAGATAGTCCCAGGGGCCACGGGGTCTCAGATTGGAGGCAAGGGTGCATCCTCAAAGCATCATCTGAGGACGGCCGGCCCCAGAGCCCCGGGAACCCGGGCAGCAGGGGGTGCGCTGGGGGGTGAGGGCTGGCAGAGCCATGAGAGGGTCCAACAAGCAGCCACAGGGCCTAGTCGGGGACAGAGTCCAGGCTTCTGGGCTCCTGCTGGAGTTGTCACCCCCCAACATACTGTTTAGACAGAGCGGCAGAGAAGACGCAGACATCCTGCAGGAGGAGGCCTGTTTATTTCTGGCAGCCCCAGGCCCCACACACCACACCCCAACTCTGCACAGCATGAGGGCTGAACTCTCCCAGAGCCTCTGACTCCAGCCGGACTGGCCAGCGGCGGGGGTGGAAGGACACAGGAGGGGGGCCTGCGGGATCCTTGCCCCCCCCCCTCCCCGCCAGCTCCCTGGAGGATGGGGGAGAAGTTGCAGGCCACTCCCTGCCTTCCCAAGTCTGGTCCTCAAAGAAGCCCTGCCTGCCTCTTGAGGCCTGCTGACCGCTGGGCAAGGCAGGGAACCAGGAGACACCTCGGGGCCGCCACCTCCTTTAGCACACAGTTCCCCAAGCCCCACAGCTCCTGAGCTCTCCCATTGCCCGACCCGCACCCCAGTTTTCTAACCTCCCTCTAGACCCTGCTACCCGCAGCAGCCATGCTAACAAACCTGAGTTTTCAGTCCAGGAGGCGGCTCAGCGGGCACTTCCTTGCCGTGATCTTGCCCTTCCTCTCACTGGATGCAGTTTCCTGTTTTCCTCCTGGAGCAAGTGTCTCTCTTGCTTTTCCAGAGCTCGGCCTTTCTGAGCAGAATTCCTTTTTTTTTTTTTCTTTATGGGAGAGTTTTATAAAGAACGGTGCACGGAGGACCTCGCATGGTGCCAGAGACCAAAAGTGGCTGGCTGCAGGCAGAGCCATGATCCCCTGTCCTATCTTTCCATCCCTCAGACCCCTCTTTTTAGAGGGGTCAGTTGGCTGGAGGTAAGCCTCAGGAGTTTATCAGCGAGCTATTCAGCAAGAGCACAAGAGTTGCTTGAAACACAGAAGTTCATTTGGTCCCTTCATACGGGGTTGAGATAGCCCATCACACAGACGAGGAAACCAAGGCAAGACCACTTTATCAATTTGCCCAAGTTCACATAGCTTTAAAAAAAGGGGGGGGGGCTGGAGCGATAGCACAGCAGGTAGGGCATTTGCCTTGCATGTGGCCGACCTGGGTTTGATTCCCAGCATGCCATATGGTCCCTCGAGCACCGCCAGGAGTAATTTCTGAATGCAGAGCCAGGAGTAACCCCTGAGCATCGCCGGGTGTGACCCAAAAAGCAAAGACAAAAAAAAAAAAAGAAAAAAAGAAAAAACGGGCTGGAGTGATAGCATAGTGGGTAGGGCGTTTGCCTTGCATGTGGCCGACCTGGGTTCGATCCCCAGCATCCCATATGGTTCCCCAAGCACCGCCAGGAGTAATTCCTTAATTCCTGTAATTCCGCCAGGGAGGCAGGAATAACCCCTGAGCATCACTGGGTGTAACCCCAAAAGCAAAAAAAAAAAAAAAAAAACAGGGGCTGGAGACATAGAACAGCAGGAAGCACTCTTGCCTTGCATGTGGTCGGCCCAGGTTCGATCCCCAGCATCTCATAGAGTCCCCTGAGCCTGCCAGGAGTGGCCCCTGAGTGCAGAGCCAGGAGTAAGCCCTGAGCACCACCAGCTGTGGCCCAAAATAAAAAATAAAATAAAATAGAAACCAAAGGTCAGGGTAATGAGGGCTCAAGGAGTTGAGCACAGACTTGGTATGTGGGAACCCCAAGGTCTGATCCCCAGCACTGACTGCATGTGACCCCCAAAACAAGACAACAAACAGAAATAAAGGAGCCAAAGTGAAAGTACAGCAGGTAGGGAATAAGGTAAGACCATGTACATGACAGACCCGGGTTTGAGTGCCGGCATCCCACACGGTCCCCCGAGCCCCACCAGGAGTAACTTCTGCACATTGCTGGGTGTTGCCCCCCAAAAGACGAAGAGCACTGCCTTGGTTCTCAGAGTCAGACACCAGTTCTTCATCCTTCTTCATCCTCATGGAGGAGGGTGGAGGAGAATGTGTGCAGATGCCCGCCTTTCAGGGTAGTCCTGGGGTAGACCCCGGTAGCCCATAAATGGCTCCCCTGAGAGGTGGGTTCGCTGCTTCCCATTTTTCAGGCTGGAAAGTTGAGGCCGGGCGGTAACTTCCCCAAAGTCCCACACCCCGCTAGGGCCATCTGTAGCATCTCAACCAGAATATTGGCAATGGCATTAAGTGGAGAATGACTCGTCTTCCCAGATTCTGGGTTCCCGGAGAGCAACCCGGGCCTGCCCAGCCGTCATGTGATAGGATGGGGGTACGATGAAGATTCCCAGAGCATCCCTGGCCATGCAAGCCAACATCCCACGCACACACACACACAGAGCCGCTAGAGCAGGCTCTCAGGTGCTGGCCAGCCACCACTCTGGGGGATAAGGCGCCTAAACAGATTAGCCAGGCAGGCGGGGAGACCCGGGGAGGGGAGCTCATTACTATTCATGAGCTGCCTCCCCGCGGAGCCCAGGTCAGAGGGCTCCATCCTGGAGTGACCTCGGCTGGGAGCGCCCCCACCCCCGCCCCCATCCACTGGGCAAGGGGGCACGTGGGGAGAGAGTGTGGGCACAGGACTGTGGGGACCGAGCCCCCACCACCTCCAGGCTACCGCTCTGCCGGGGCCAGGTCCCACCCCCGGAGGCGGGGCTGGCCGGGAGGCTCCCAGCCTCATCCCTCCGGAACCGGCGGGCGGGCGAGCCGCCCCACGGCCGCCCCGCTGCGCTCACACCATGCCCTCAGCCGCCAGCACCCCAGGCATCATCACCCCACGGCCCTTGGGGGCGGCGGGGGCAACTCCCTGACACTCGGGAAGGCCCAGGCTGGGCACACCACACCTGTTCCTGACTGCCATGTGAGTTGCACCCCTGGGGCACCCTGCTCACTGCACTCTGCAATCTGACAGCACCCGTTGCTGGGGGTATCTCGGGGGGGGGGGGGGAGGAGGAGGAGGAGGAGGAGGAGGAGGAGGAGGAGGAGGAGGAAGAAGAGGAGGAGGAAGAGGAGGAGGTGAAGGAGGAGGGCAACCCTGGAATTAGAAGGGGAAGGGGCTGAACCTCACTTCAGAGGAGGGAGGGAGGGAGGGCAGGCAGCTGCCCAGGGATGCTGAGGTCCCTGTCTAAACTGGGGGCCCGGGAGTGTTCGGCTGGAGATGCAGCAGGTGGGGGCTGGACACAGGAATTGAAACAAGGACGGCTGCAGAGGACAAGACTTGGGGAGTAGAAGACACGGAGGGCGATTGAGGAAGAGGAAATGGTCGGAGGGGCGGAGAAAGAGGGTTAGCAGCTCAGGAGGGGTGGGGGAGGGCGTGGGTATTGAGGGGGCGACATCCTTACACTCAGGGCAGTGGGGAGGACTGCCGGACCCTCTAAAGGACTCCCTCATTCACGCCTCAGAGTCACACAGATGATCCCTGGGCTGGCTCCGCCCTGCACCCCCACCCCAGGGCCCTGTCCCCTCTGGTGTGTGTGTGTGTGTGTGTGTGTGTGTGTGTGTAGGGCAGGGGGACTGGAGAGCTGAGGACAGGGAAGGACAGTGACAGATCAGATGGCCACAGGCCCTGCCAGCATCTTCCCCCTTGCTCTCTGCTGCAGCCCCCAGGGTTGGGGTGCCCTTTCCTCCCCTCCAGGGCACACCCTGTCCCCCGCCCTCCCCCCCAGCTCCCAGGAAGGGCGCTGTTGCTAGGGGGTGTGCACGGCTGGAGTTTATGGGCTGGAAGTCCTACCCGGAGGTGGCTTACTGGGCGGAACTGGCCTCAAGGGCGGATGGAGCAGGGGATGTGGAGAGAGAGCACCCCACTTGCTCCAGTGCCGGACCAGGACTCTTCCACACCCCCACAAACCCCCCCCCACACACACACATACACACCTCCAATTCCGAGCAGCCGTCTGGCTCTAACCACTGGGCTAACCTGGGGCCCCTCACCTCGCGCCGGGCCCGGCATAGACTCACCAGCCCGCCCTCGCCTCCCTCCTGGCTAATTTCAAGGCTTGGCCAGATGGAGGCAGGGATGGCCAAAGGCTTGGGCGCTGGGTGGGTCTCCGCCTGCTGTCCAAACAGAGGCTTAAACACAGCTGCCCGGGCCAGCCCGGCAGATAAGGGAAAGGGGCGAAGGGGCCGCCATCCCCGCTGCAGCTGCCCCAATAATGCGTGTGCGCTGCCATTGTGAGGGACAGTTCATGAAAGGAAACCTGGGCATGAACGGAAAGACAGGGCAGAGGGGGATGGGACTCGCGCACACACACCCACACTCACACCAAACACACACAAACACACACACACACACACACACACACACACACACACCTCGTACCTGGGCCTGAAAGGAAACGCAGGGGGACGGGGGACGGGACCCCAGTGCGTGCACACACACACAGACACACAAACACAGACACACACACACACACACACCTCCTACCTGGGCATGAATGGAAACGCAGGGCAGAGGGGGATGGGACCCCCCCCCCACACACACACACACACCTCTCGTATGCAGGGCAGAGGGAGATAGGGGACGGGACCCCCGCGTGTGCGCGCGCGCACACACACACACACCCTCGTGCTCAGCAACCTGCAGGTGGGGGGCAAGGCCCCACCAGGACCCCCACTCTCACCCTGGCCACCCTGTTTCTCTCCCCAGGCCAGCCAGCAGCTGCTCCATCCCTCCCCCGGCCCAAGGCCCACGATGACGACACCCAACGGCACCCGGGAGATCCCCGGCCCCATTCCCGCAGGGGTCTTGGGGCTCTCCCTCGCCCTGGCCATCCTCATCGTCTCTGCCAACCTGCTGCTGGCCCTGGGCATCGCCAGGGACCGCCACCTGCGCAGCCCGCCTGCCGGCTGCTTCTTCCTGAGTCTGCTGCTGGCCGGGCTGCTCACGGGGCTGGCGCTGCCCACGCTGCCGGGCCTGTGGAGCCAGAGCCCGCGCGGCTACTGGTCCTGCCTCCTGCTCTACCTGGCTCCCAACTTCTCCTTCCTGTCCCTGCTGGCCAACCTCCTGCTGGTGCATGGCGAGCGCTACGTGGCGGTGTTGTGGCCCCTGCGGCCGAGGGGCAGCACGCGGTTGGCCTTGCTCCTGGCCTGGGCCAGTCCCCTGCTCTTCGCCAGCCTGCCCGCCCTGGGCTGGAACCGCTGGGCCCCCGGGGCCAACTGCAGCTCCCAGGCCGTCTTCCCCGCGCCCTACCTCTACCTGGAGGTCTACGGGCTGCTGCTGCCCGCCGTGGGGGCCGCCGCCCTGCTCTCGGCCCGCGTGCTGGCCACCGCCCGCCGCCAGCTGCGGGACATCCGGCGGCTGGAGCAGGCCGTGTGCCGCGGGACACCCTCGGCCCTGGCCAGGGCCCTGACCTGGCGCCAGGCGCGGGCGCAGGCCGGGGCCACGCTGCTCTTTGGGCTCTGCTGGGGCCCCTACGTGGCCGCCCTGCTGCTGTCCATCCAGGCCTACGAGCAGCGGCCCCCGCTGGGCCCGGGCACCCTGCTGGCCTTCGTCTCGCTGGGCAGTGCCAGTGCGGCCGTGGTGCCCGTGGCCATGGGGCTGGGCGATCACCGCTATACGGCTCCCTGGAGGGCGGCCGCCGGCCGCTGTATCCGGGGTCTGCGGGGAAGGGCCCCCCGGGCCAGCCCCGAGCCCGGTCCAGCTGACCACACGGGCAGCCTGAGTAGCGCCGACCTGACGTGAGCCGTGAGACAGGGCAGGGCCCCCCTCATCCCCCCCCCGCTCTTCCCAGGAGTCTCCAGGGACCAGCCTCCCCCTCTGCCTGCTGGACACCCCTCCCCCACCCCTACACTCCCAGAATAAAGCACCTCTGGCCGCTGGGTCCTTTTTGGTTCCTTATCTCAGACATGGGAAGTGGCGGGGCAAGGCCTCCCCCCGCCCAGGAACCAAGCTGGCACAGAGCTGGAGAACGGGTACGTGTCTAGGCGGGGAGCCCGGCCCACCACGAGCCCCACACCCGTCTGCTCCTCCCCGTGTTCCCAGCCACCACCACACAAGTCACACGGCCGTCTCTCTGGGAAGTATATTTTATTTACATCTTTTAAAATCTGTCACTAGTATTTCTTCCTCCTTTCCGCGCCCCCCAGATCTGGGAAGGGAAAGGAAGGTAACCACCAAGAACTACTCCCCACATACAAATTGCCCCCCACCCCCCCATGGCTCACACCAGCAAAGAAAAGCGAAAGAGAAAGAGGCCTCGGAGGGCCCCGCTGGGCTGGGTCAGGGGCCAGGGAAGGGGGACAGGCCCGAACAGGGTCTCTGGGTGGGGATGGGAGTGGGGGGGGGGGGGGGCGGGAGGGACCGAGAGGGGCCAGGCATCTGAAGGGGGGAGAGTAGTCCGAGCCCCGCCCTCCGCTTCCCTTCTGCGGGCACAGGCGGGGTGCCCCCCGCCCCAGGCACAGAGCCCAGGCGCAGCCCTTAGCGGTCAGGCCTCTGGACACAGAAGACTTTTGCTTTGTGGTCCCCCGACGTGGTCACCACCAGTGAGGCATCTCTGCGGGCAGAATGGCACGGGTGGGCGGGGCTGGGGACCCGGGGACCCAAAGAGGCCACCTCCACTGCACCCCAGGACCCCCGAAGCCTGGCAAGCCAGTGAAGGGAGCCTGGGGCTCGTAGGAGCCCCCCTCCGCCCCCGTCCCCGCGCCTTACTTGCTGAGGGCAAAGTCCAGGATCTCGGCAGTGTGGCCGCGGTAGTCGGTGAGCAGGCGGCCAGCACGCGTGTCCCAGAGGCGCACCACACCGTCCAGGCTGCACGTGTACACCACGGCTGTGCCCGCCTCCCACAACAGCTGCACGATGCCCGACTGCACAGGCAGAGAGGCGGCCATCAGGAGGGGCTCCCCGCGCTCCGGGAGGGTGGGGGCGGGAGGGAATAAGGCCGGGAGTTGCGCTCAGGTACCTGGTGCTGGCACTGATGCCGGAGCGTCTGTGTGGACAGGTCATAGATGGCCAAGGTCCCGTCCAGGTAGCCAACAGCGGCCAGAGGCATCCTGGACAGAGGAGGGGGGGCGCAGATTAGAGGAGAGATGGTGGGGGTGGGGGCAGGGCCTCCTGCCCCCTCCCCCCCCGCCCCCCGCCACTGCCCTGCAGCACTCACACGCTGCAGAAGCCCAGGGACTCCACCGAGTTCGACTCGCTCTCCTCGCCTTCACCCAGGCTGGGCTGGGGGGCCACCGTCTCAGGCCTGAAGACGCCCACCACCTAGGGGGCAGGAGCCTCAGAGGAGGGGTCTAGGGGGTGAAGAGGAAGGGAGGGAAGGAGAGAGGGAGGGAGGGGCCGAGGGGCCTCACCTTGCCAGTGGTGGCACTGACTAGCTTGGCCTGGCAGTCCACGGAGCCGGTCAGGACCAGGCTGCCATCCTGGTTGGTGGCCACGCAGGTTAGTGGGCCCTGGTGACCCTCGGTCCCTGGGAGGCGAGGGAGCGGGGATTCTTCCATCAGGCTCTTCCTCCTGCCTGAGGGCATCCCTCCCGCCCCCCCCCCCCCATGCTGTACCTTTCAGGACATGGATGGGGCTTCCCTGCTTCAGGTCCCAGATCCTGATGGTGCCGTCTTCATAGCCCACCACAGCACGCTTCCCTAAGGGACCAGAGGCTGCAGGTGACTCGGGAGGCGATGGGCATGAGCCCAGCGGGGGGGGGGAGGGGGGGGGTGCGGCAGAGGCGTGGTTCCGGGCAGGGGTGCGGGCTGTGCTGCCAGCTCCTGGCCCAGCCCAGAAGGAGCGGTGGGCACTGCACTCACCGTCAGGGAGGACGCGGCCACAAGTGGCGGGGCAGCTGGGGCCCTGGAAGGTCTTGCAGTCGCCATTTGGGACCTTCCACATCCAGGTGTTCCCGTCAGCCGTGCCCGCCAGCAGCACAGGGGCCCGGGGATGCCACTCCATCCACTGGGCAGAGGAAGGGGGGAGTGTAAACCCTGGCAGGGGCCTCTCTCTGTGCCACACCAGCACCCACCTGGGGCTGTGTGGCCCAGGGTCACCTGTTACCTTCCGGGAGGGCAAAGCTCCCGCTCACACCCCCCGGGAGCCAGGGGGCTCTTTCCTCTCCTTCTCCTCTTCTTCCTTTCTCGTCCTGAGCTGCCGCTCTCTCAGCATCCCCACTCCAAGCCGAAATGATTTTTTTTGGGGGGGGGGGGGGGTTCTCTTGGTGCTGGGATCAAACCCAGGGTCTTGTAAATGCCAAGTACACGCTCCACCACCAAGCTACACTCTGGTCCCCGAGCCTGACACATATACGTGTTTTCTTTTTCTCTTTTTGGCTTTTTTGGGTCACACCTGGCGATGCTCACAGCATATTCCTGGCAGTGCTCGGGGAACCACATGGGATGCCGGGGATCCAACCCAGATCGGCCATGTGCCAGGCAGAAGCTCTCCCCACTGTACTATCGCTCCGGCCCCGACATGTGTATCATAAACCCACCAGCAACGAGCCCTCCCCGGGTCAGAAGCAGGACACCAGGCCTTCTGTGTGTGCATGTCAGTTCATGCTCTCCTACCTTCATCCCCACATTCCACCCCGGAGGTCCCAGATGTGTGGTAATTCCCAGATGTTTTAAGTAATAGATCTTTTTGTTTTGTTCGGGTGCCACACCTGGCAGCGCTCAGGGATCACTCTTGGAAGGGCTCCGGGGACTATATAGGGTGCCAGAGATTGAACCCAGGGAAGTCGCGTGCCAGGCAAGTGCCTTGTCCTCTGTTGTACAGTAACAAAGCCATTTTCTCCCAAGCCTCCTGACGTGTGTTTCAAGGGCATCTGGCCACCAGTGAGGACTCCGGGGGCTGCACCTTGGTTAACTGACAGGCCGGAGCCAGCCCAGCACAGGGTTTGCAGGTGGCCTGTGTCCCATTCCCCTCCCCTACGGCAGGAGCTGCTCCCCTGAGCCCTGCCCAAGCTCTCCCTGCTTCTGAGGTCAGAGGCGATTCCAGGGAACAGACATCCTAGCCATTCCCTGGGGCTGCGCTGGTCGGGGTGGAAGCAGAACCCCCACACCATGCTGACCGCCCCCCCCCAACCCCCTTCCGATGAGCTCACCTCCAGGTCTCCAGCTTCAAAGGACCAGACCTCCTCCTTGGTGTCCACCTGCCACACTTTCAGGAGGCCACTCATGTCCCCCGTGGCCACTAAGGTCGAATCATGGCTGAACCCGGCACAGGTCACAGAGTCTTTGTGGCCTGCAAAGACATGCACCCGGAGGAGCCTCAGATCCCAGTGCTGGGAGCGTAAGACACCGGGAGAAGTAAGACACTGAGAGACGTAGGACACTGGGAAACATAGGACACCGGGAGACACAGCCACAGCCGGGCAAGAGCAGCCAGAGAGGAGGAAGCAGGGTGAGAGCCAGCAGGCAGGGTGGCAACTGCATTGCTGCTCCAAGCTGGGGGGTGGGGATGCCCCCAGCCGCCTCCTCTCAGGCACACAGGCAGCTGCTTCTCTGCCCCCCATGCCACCCCCCGAGGCTGGCCGCCCCCTCACCTGCACACTCAAAGAGCAGCTCCCCATCGCTGAGCCTCCACACAAAGGCCTTGTCGTCCTCACCGCCCGTCACGGCCATCGTGTTGGTCTTGGGGTCCAGGCTCACACAGAACACAGATGCTGTCCCAGGAGACATGACAGGCGTCAGGGACTTCTAGCCGCACCACCCCCCTTGCCCCCCACAGCATGGCTGGAACAGGGCAGACCCCCACCAGACGGTTCCCTGGCTAGCCCCCAAACGAGGGTGAAACAGGAGGGTCTTGTTGCAGGGCTAGGAGGGGTCTCCAGAGTGGGGGGGGGGGGCAAAGAACAACCCAAAGTCTGACCTTTCACCTATTAAGAGCTAAGTGTCGGGGCCGGAGCGATAGCAAGGAGGGTAGGGAGTTTGCTTTGCACCCGGGTTCCCAGCATCCCGCATGGTCCCTCCAGCACCACCAGGAGTAATTCCTGAGTGCAGAGCCAGGAGTAACCCCTGAGCATCACTGGGTGTGATCCAAAAAGAAAACAAACAAACAACCAGGGGCTGGAGAGATAGCACAGTAGGTAGGGCGTTTGCCTTGCATGAGGCCAGAGGTCAACCTCGGTTCGATTCCCAGCATCCCATTTGGTCCTCTGAGCGCCACTAGGAGTAACACCTGTGCATCACTGGATGTCAAAAAGCAAAAAAAAAAAAAAAAAAACCCAAAAAAACAAAACAAAAAAAAACAACCACCAAAGAGCTGGATGTCAAAGACTTCTCCCAAACATGCTCAAAAGGGAACACTCCTCTCTAACTTCCAACCATCCCATATCATTTACTAACTGTTCTTGGGGCTGGAGAGAGAGTACGGTAGGTAGGGGGGTCTGCCTTGCATGCTGCTTGCTTGAGTTTGATACCCATCACCCTAGATGGTCCCCTAAGCCCACTAGGTGTGATGATCCCTCAGGGTAGAGCCAGGAGTAGGCCCTGAGCAGGGCATGCACCCCCTCCCCCCCAAAAAAAGAACCAGTTTTGCCAAAGGCAGTCCCTGGAACAAATCTAAGCTGCTGGGGCTTCGGGGCTGGCTCAAAGGGACGGAGCATATGCGCTGCTTACAGGGGGGCTGGGTATGTGCCCTGCCAGGTGAGGCTCCCCCAAAACAAATAACCGAAATCATGAGAGATGATAAAAGCTCAAAAACTCCGAAACTGGAAAGTGCCAGCCAGGGAGATATGACTTAAGAGGCTGGAGCGCAGGCTTTGCAGGCAGCGGGACTGGGTGTCAGGTCCAGCACCACTGGGGTCTCTGGAGAGCCATAAGGAGCACCTCCCCCCAGCCCTCAACCCCCCCCCCAAAAAAAACACGGGAGCCTGGAGTAGCCCCTGGGCAACCCTAGGTGTGGACTCAAAACAAACAACCCCCAATGAGCCAGGGAAGTTGGAGGAGGAGGAGCCGATGGGGGGGGGACCAACCCTGCCACCAGCCCATCCCACCGGGGGCGGGGCTCTGCACCCCCCCCCCCCCTTCACACCAGCCCCTGTCCCGGCTCGCAGCGCAAACAGCTCAGCCCCCGGACGGACGGGAAGAGAGCAGCCCCTCGCAGCTCCTGCAAACACCCACCTGAGTGCAGAGCAAAGGTGACCTCGCTGTCATCCGGGCCCTCCATGCTGCCCACCACCCCCTCCTGGGGTTCCAGCACCCAGCCCTCCTCGTGTCCCTCCTCCTCCTCCTCCTCCTCCTCCTCTTCCTCTTCCTCGAAGTCGACATCTTCCATCTCCTGGGCCAGATCATCTGCTTGGGAAGAGGCGGGGGGTAGCGGGCAGAGTCTGCAACCGGACGGGGGCTCCGCTGGGCAGCGGGGCAGGGGAGGGGGGTGGGCGCGGGGCAGGGCGAGGTCAGAGAGCCGTGGGGGCGTTGGCGGCAGGCAGGCAGGCGGGGCGCCGGGAGGGGGGTGTGGGGGGCGCGGGGCCGGAGGGGTGCGAGCAGGAGCCGGGCCGGGGCCGGGGCCGGGGTGGGGGTATGGGGGGAGGGCCGAGGGGATGACGGGAAGGGGGTGTGTGAGGGGAAGGGCCAGCGGCGGCCGCGGGGGAGCCCCCACCGGGCCCGGGCCCGAGAACTAAGTGGGGCGGGGGATGCGGAGGGCGAGGGAGGTCGGCAGGAATGCCCGGTGGGGGGCGAGGGGGGAGCGGGGGTCAGAGGCCAGGGGCTGAGAGCGCCTTCCCGTCCCCCGGCCCGAGGAACGGCGGTTCTCACCCGGGTCCGGCGGGCCGGGATCCAGTTCTACCACCTCGATGATCTCTTCATCGCCGTGGAAACTTAGGGTCTCCAGTGGGGGGGTGTCAGCGGCGGCCCCGCTCTCCGATTCGGACTCCATGCGGCACCGGCGGCCGAGACACTTCTCTGGGCCCAAACGCCTCCCAGAGTCAGCCCTGCGCGACGACGCGGAACTCGAGCCCCGCCTCCCGGGAGGAAGTGGGCGGAGGCGACTCTGCCGGGGCGGGAAGAGCGACGGCCGCGGGACCAATGGGCAAAGAGGGCGACGGGCGGCCCCGCCAATCACCGGGCGGGACGGGGAGACGGGGCTTGGGGAGGGCGTGGTTTCGAGCACCCTTAACTCCGCCCCATCTGGCTCCACCCCCTCCCCCCCCAACCAGAGGGAAACAAGCGAGCGTGCGCGCCTGCTGGGTCTCCTGGGAAGAGTAGTTCTCCCGGGGTTTTCCGCTCGCCCGTGGGCTTCTGGGAGTTGTAGTTTCTGGCCGGTAGGCAGGCGGGGGAGGCCCCTTACGCAAACTACAATTCCCGGCGGGGAGCGCGGCGAAGCGGGGGGTGGGATCTGAACATGGCGGCGGTGGTAGCTGCTACGGCGCTCAAGGGCCGGGGGGCCAGAAATGCCCGCGTCCTCCGGGGTAAGGAGAGGGGACCGAGGGGTGGGCAAAGGCTGCCGAAACGCGCCCCCTCTGCGTTCCGTCCCCGCGGAACGGTCTTAGCGAGCGCAGGTCAGGGCTGCCGATGGCTGCGTGCACCCCCTGCAGGATGGTGAAGAAGGTGGGGGGCTCTGGGATGCTCTCTAGAGGTCACCGCCTCCCTGCCTTAAGGGCTCCGAGGAGGTTTGCCTGAGGGGGGTCTGGCTGCAAGAGGGAGCTCCGAGAAGGGTTTTTTATTTTTATTTATTTTTTATTATTATTATTAATTTTGGACTCCTGCGCTCCAGGTGGTTCCCACGCACCGCAGTGCAGAGGGACAGCCCCGGGCTGCTGGAGGCGCGGGATCCAGCCCGGGTAATTAGCAGTTTGACCTTGGGCGAAGCTCGGGCTTCAGGCTCCCGCTTTCTCTCCGAGACGGGAGGCGGGTGGCCAGGTGGAGAAGTGCAACGCGCTGCAGTTGGGAAACCTTGGCTCGGGTGTGCCTGCGTCTCCTTGTGGGTCCGTTCCCACTGCAGCCCTTCCCGCCCAGCTGTCCGGGGAGAGGACTAGGCGCCCCCCGCGAGCTCGCCCCCCCCCTCCGCGGCCCCAGGGTGCTGAGCCCGCAGTGACGTGGAAGTGGCTTCCCAATGTGCCACCTCGCCTGGCGATTTTCCCATTTGCTTTGGATTCTCCCTGGCACTTGTTACTCCCAACGGCTGTCGTCACTCTCCTCCCGCAGAATCCGACTCTCCTAGTCCTCCTCCTCCTCCTGGTTTTCCTCCTCCTCCTCCTCCGGGCTTTGTGCTCGTCCTTTCTTCCTGACCTTGCCTCCCTCCATCCACAGGGATTCTCTCCGGAGCCACCACGAACAAGGCTTCCCAGAACCGGACCCGCGGGCTGCAAAGCCACAGCAACCCGGAATGCAAGGAGGAGGAGCCGGAGCCCCTGTCCCCTGAGCTGGAATACATTCCCAGAAAGAGGGGCAAGAACCCCATGAAAGCCGTGGGACTCGCCTGGTGAGTTTTGACCGACCTTTGCCCACCGCTGTAGGGGGGGGTCAGGGTGGTAGTGGTGGTGTGGGGGGGGGGCTGGTAGCATCCATCAGGGGCCGGTGCGAGCAGGAAACACAGAAGCTGTAGGTGGTAAAATTCAGTCAAGGTGTTGGGGATGGGGATTGCTTGCGGAGCGCCAAGGACAGGCTGGGAGGTTGTGGGGGGTGTGGAGTGGCTTAGCTGTGGAGCGAGCTCTGCTCGTCTGATTGAAATTGAACTTATCTTCTTTGGGGGAGCAAGTCCCAAGGGAGCGCGCTCATAGAAACTGAGACTGGGAGGGGTCAGTTAGCGGCACAGGGGCTCCTAGGATTGCACTGACATAAGGAACTATCATTGAGGGGTGTTTAAAGGGAAATTTAGGGGCCGATCGACATGTGTTCTCTGTATTTGGGGCGTGTCTGTACCTCTCAGTGTCTCGTTTCGGTCTTTCGGAGAGGAATGTCACCTCTCCACCTTACAGAATAGGGATCCGAGGCTCAAGGCTCGGACCTGAGTTTTGTGTCTTTGGTTTTTTTTTTTTTTTTCTGTTTGGGGTGTGTGCGGGGGGTGGGGTGGGGGGGTCACGGTCACACCCGGCAGTGCTCAGGACTTACTTCTGGCTCTGCGCTCAGGGATCACTCCAAGGCAGGACTCAGGGGACCATAGCAGGTGCTGGGGGTTGAACCTGGGTCAGCTGCATGCAGGGCACGTTCCCTACTTGCCGTCCTATTATTCTGGCCCCAGACCTGGGAGTTTTGACCAAGTCTTAAACCCCCCCATGTGCTCCCCCACCCTCAAAGTGTCCTCCAAGGAGCAGATAAGAAGATTGAAAGGAGAGGGATTTGGGGAGGAGGGTAGGTTTAGGCGAGAGGAACCGGGTTGGGCTGTCTGGAGAATCCTGGGTCTGGCAATGGTGCAGGAATGTGTGTGTGTGTGTGTGTATGTATGTTTGTGTCTGTGTGTGTGTGTTGTGTGTGTGTGTGTGTGTGTGTGTAGGAGAGGGAATTCAGGCTATAGGGAAAAAGGAAGAGAAAAAGCGCGCAGAGACCTCCCCACATGGGGCCTTTTGTGCCATGCTTAGGAGCTGGGACTTGGCCGGGAAATGATGGCTCTTAGCTGCAGCAGGATCTGATGTGAGCAGCCAGCACAGGGGCCGACTCTACCCACGAGGTACCGCTCGGGTTGAGAGGGGGTGAAGCTAGCATGAGCTCCTCGCCGCCCCACCCTGCTGCCCCCAGCTCCTCCCAGCCCCGGCCAGGCCCCCAGCCCCATGCACGTTTCCCCACCCCTAGGGCCATCGGCTTCCCCTGTGGGATCCTCCTCTTCATCCTCACCAAGCGGGAAGTGGACAAGGACCGTGTGAAGCAGATGAAGGCTCGGCACAACATGCGGGCATCCAATACGGGCGAGTATGAGAGACAGAGGTTCAGGGCCTCCCTGCAGCCAGCCCGGGCGCCCGAAGGCGACTCGAGGGTGCAGACTTGAGACCCCCGCCCCGCCAGGTCAGCCGGACTGTGGCCTCCGCATCACCACCGCCCCCACCTCTGCCCGCCACCTCCTCCTCCCGCTTGCTTGGCCTCTTGCGGTCCTTGCCCCCCCAAAGGCCACCAGAGGGCGCGTGAAGCACAGCGGCCACTGCTGCCCGCCCCTGCCCTGCCCGGCCCCGCCCCACCATCAAGGCCACCCAAGGCAAATAAAAGCCCAGTGTGTGAGTGGAAAGAACCCGGCCTGGCTCTGTGCGTCCCCGGGAGCGGAGCGGGGCAGGGCCGAGTCTCACGAGGGCACACCCTGGCACAGAAACTCCCCGCGCAGGCGACTTGGAGGGACCCCAGAGAGACTTGAGGCCCTGGGACCAAGCCCACAAGCTACAGGCCAGGAGGGTGGGGTCCCACGCAGGCTTGATGGAGAATGAAGTGATACAGAGAGGGCCTTTCGGGGTGTGGAGGTGCACAGGCGCTCCCCATGGCGGGGCCCATGAATCAGCCCTGCTGGGTTCCTTTCCGTTTGTAGTAGAGGCGGCGATGATTGGCCTCTGGTGCCCGTGACATTGCCCATGCGTGGCTTTATCCTACGCCACTGAGCCGTGTCCCCCTCCCCTCCCCCCCCCAGCAGAACTGTGTGTGAACCTGCTCTCACTCGGGGGCTCTGGCCTCTGCCTGAGCCACCGTCCCGGACCACCAGCAGCCCCCGAGTGGCACTCGCCTCCCACCTCCGTGTGGCTGGCCCCTGGTGCTGAGAGCTGGCTTAGGAAAGCCAGACAGTGTGGCCCAACAGGTGGAACCGGGTGTTCAGGCCTTGCTTATGGCTGACCCAGGTGTGATCCACAGAGGGTCTCCCCGAGCCCCGTTGGGTCACACCCCGGAGCACAGAGCCAAGGGTAAGCCGAGACACCCCCCTCCCCCAAAACGAAAGGAAAAATGGGAGCTAAAAGCCAGAGTATAGAGGTTGGTGTGAGAGCACGCAGGAACCCCCCCCCCTCCCCCAAGCACTACTGGGTGTCACCCCAGCCCTGAATGCAGGGGTCAGAAGCCGATGTTCCAGGCAGAGCGAGGCCTTGTCTTCCCAGAGCCGCATCTTCCGATAAAGAAAATCGGAGGCAAGGAGCTGGGGACAGGTTCGATCCCCGGGTTTGATTCCCCAGCGCTTCCCCGGGGCGGGCCCCCCCAAAACCCAGAGCCGTCCAAAGTTGAATTCTAACACAAAACTTTATTATACTTCTAGATAGGTCCTGGTACGGGATGACCTTAGAACCAAGCACTTAATAGAGAAGCCCCAGTCACACGGCAGGCCGCTCTGCTTCCACCTGCCGTGCCCGGCATCGGCGGCAGGCCCCGCGTCTCATCCCCGAGGCACTTGGTGTCACAGAGAAAGCAGTGGCTGGCTGGGGGGGCAGGCGAGGCGGGGTGCTCCTGAAACTGAAAGGACCCTTCCCGGGCCAGCAGAAACTCCCATGGCCCCTCAGGAGCTCAGCCCAGAGGGGGCACCCCGATCCCCGCCCCCCAGTCCTCTTCCCTGCCGCCTCCCCTGTCTCTTGCTCTGCATCACTTCCTGTCCCTACCTGGGAGCCAGCCTGTGGCCCCTGAGCACAGGAAGTCAGCGGGTTTCTTGCACCAGAGACCCCAGGGGCGCCCAGGGAGGCCCCAGGCAGCTCGGGATCACGGGGACCACCGGGGAAAGTGCCGCTGTGCTCTTGCCCCCCCCCCCCCCCCCCCCCCCCGCCCAGAGTAGAAAGGACTGAAGCAGGGAGCAGGGGAGACCGGGCTATGGCCAGGGTCCATCCAAGTGCTCCAGCCCTGGCCTCAGCGGGAGTGTGTGTGGAGGGGGGGGGGGGTTGTGGCACCACCCCAAGTCACTTCTCCACCCTTTCGACTCCAGCACAATAGGCGCCCCCCATCACCTCAGCCGTGCCCGCGTGCCCCAGAGGCTATATAGCCCACAGTGAGCTGGAGAGCAGGGGGAGGGGGAGGGGCAGAGTCACTGTGGGGCGGGACAGAGAGGTCAAGGGTGGCAGGTCCCCCTCTCCCCATCCAAGAAGAGCCCGAGCAGGGGATGCGGCAGCCCAGGTCGCGGGGTGCTGGCTAGTTCCGGTCCCCCACCAGCTGCAGCACGAAGGTGAAGATGTAGATGATGTCGGTGTAGATCTGCAGGGCGCCCGTGATGTAGTCCTCGGGGCTGATGGTGTGCTTCCGGTTGCCCAGCACCAGCTGCGTGTCGTACGCCAGGAACTGGGAGCACAGGGTGGGTGGGTAGAGGGGGTGTGTGAGGGGAACGTGGGGCTCGGTGGAGCTGGAGACTCCCCACCCACCCACCCACTTCCCCACAGCACCCAGAGGGCCCCACTCACCAGCGTGAAACAGATGGCGCCCAGAGCCGCGTAGAGCATGTGCAGCCAGTAAACCTGGGGTGGGGTGGGACAGACAGCAGGCCTGGGTGACCCCGCCAAGCAGGGGGACCCCCTCTGGCGCCTCAGAAACAGACAGGCCACATCTGGCCAGTCGCGCCGGCGAAGGAGCAGAGCAGAGCAGGGCGCCTACACGCGGTCCTTACCTCTTCTGGGAACGGACCCAGCCCCGCCCCCTCCCAACCCAGGTGTTTCAACTCAGGCGTCCCCCCGGGTCCTGCCCTAGGGCAGGGCCAGCCCAAGGCCCAGGGGTTTCCTGGTCCTCCGGTCCACTTCTCCCTCCCTGCTTCAAGGCTGCCCGCAGCCCTGGGGCCTCCTGGCGATGGGAATGAAAGGGGCGTTGGGGGCCCGAGAGATCAGGACTGCAAGTCTTGCGTGTGGCCAGCCCTTGGTTTGACCCCTCCCCCACCTCATGGTCTCCCAGGTGGCCCGGAGAGCAACCCCTGAGCACTTCTGGGCACAGACCAAACTGACCCCTGAGCACTGCTGGGCACAAACCAAACTCCTCCACCACCACCACCACCTCATGGTCTCCCAGGTGGCCCAGAGAGTGACCCCTGAGCACTGCTGGGCACATACCAAACTCCCCCTGCCCACCAGCGCAAAGGGGAAATGAGACACTGATCCCCAGCGTAGCCCAAACCCCGCCTAGCAGAGGGCGGTGGGACTCAGTGACCCCCAGAGTGCCTGCCACCCCAGCCCATCTATCTTGCTGGTCCTCTCACTGGCCTGGGGCTCCAGCTGTCGGGGTGCCCGGCTCCCTCCCCAGGGAATGCCACGGAGTGACAGGCCCAGCTTTCAGCCCCCAGCACCCCTGGGCACGGGCTAGAGTGGCAGGGACCCTGGGGGGGGGCACCAACCCCCTTTTCAGCACCCCAGGGAACACTCACATATTTGAAGGCCAGGACAATGGCAGTGACGATGCCCGTCACCATCATCACAATGCCCAGGACACAGAAAAGACCTGTGCACGAGGTGAAGTCCACCTGCAAGAAGGGAGGGACAGGTCAGGGGCCCAGCCCTGGAAGTTAGCCCTGAGGTGGCACCAGAGGGTCAGGCCGGGAAAGCCCTCCCAGCGGAGAGGGAGGGACAGACAGACAGAGTGTGTGTGTGTGTGTGTGTGTGTGTGTGTATACCTATGTGTGTGGTTTGTGTGTATGTAGTAAGTGTGTGTCTTTGTCTCTGACTCTGTGTGTATGTCTTGTGTGTGCTTGTCTGTATGTGTGTGGTGTTTATGACTGTACACACCTATGTGTGTGTCTTTGTGTGTGGTGTGTGTCTATGTGCTTGTCAGTGTATGTGTGTGTGTGTGTATGCGCCTGTCTGTGTAGGTGTGTGTGTGGTATCTGGGGGGGGATCTGTGCATTGTGTGTATGTGTCTGGTGTGTGTCTGTGTGCTTGTTGGGGTGTGTGTGTGTGTGCGTGTATGTGCCTCTCTGTGTAGGTGTGTCTGTGTGGTGGGTGTCTAAGTTTGGTGTGTGCTGTGTCTTTCTGTCTCTTTTTTTTTTTTACTGACTCACCGTGAGATACAGTTACAAGCTTTCATGTTTGAATTTCAGTCATACAGTGATCAGTCTCTGTGTCTCTATGCTTGTCATATGTGGTGTCTGTTTCTGTGCTTTTCTGTGTGTGTGTGTGCATGCCTGTCTCTGTGTGTGCTCGTATGTGGTGTTTCTGTGTCTCCGTGCTTATCTGTGTGTGTGTGTGTGTGTGTGCCTGTCTGTGTGTGTCTGTGTGTTCTTATATGTGGTATTTCTGTGTCTCCCTGCTTCTGTGTGTCGTCTATGTAGATGTGTCTATGGTGTGTCCATGTCTCGCCGCTTGTGTGTGCTTTGTGTGTGTGTGCGCGCATGCGCCTATCTGTGTAGGTGTGTCTGTGTATGCTTGTGTGTGGTGTGTCCATGGGGGTCTGGGGGGGTCCGGGGAGGGGCGCCCTCACCTTGGTCTGGAAGCAGAAGATGGTGACTGAAATGGACACGACGGCAGTGATGATCATGGCGATGATGACAGCCTTGGTGTTGTGCATGCTGGGGGTGGGGGATGCAGGCAGAGGCATTAGTGCCCTGAGACCTCCCCAGGCCCCCCCTACCCCCCCACCCCCGCCTCTCCACACAGGCTGGTACCTGGATATGGTGCCCGTCATGAAGCCCATGGCAAGCGTCTGCAGGGGGGACAGACTCGAGTGAGCCGTGGGACAGGGTGGGGCCACACCCAGCTGTGGGGGTTCCCCCCCCTAGGGCCCCCAGCCCCCCACCCCCATGCCTCGGCTCCCCAGGACTCACAAAGATTGCCAGCAGGATGATGTTCCAGGGGAAACGGCGTCTGAGGAGAGAGACGGCACTCAGGGCAGAAGCTCTGGCCCTGGGCCTGGACCCAGTGGCAGGGGAGAGGGCAGCCTCTGCTGTCCCCCTCCAGGGTTCAGTGCAGGCTGTGGGCAGCTCCGCCCTGGGCTCCTGTGTGACCCCCAGGAGGCCACTCACCCTCTCTGAACCTCGACCAGGCCCTTTGCTCAGTGCTGCAGGAACTGCATCTGTCTTGGGCCAGAGCATCACTCCAGCGGGGTTGGGGTGGGGGGGGAAACCTGCCTTGCACACAGTGAGCTGGGGCTCGATCCCCGTATCCCAGAGGACCCCTGAACCCCCCTGAGTGCAGAGCCAGGAGTAACACCCCTGAGCACTGTCGGGGTGGCCCAAAAGCAAAACGAAAAAGCACTGCCGAACCCAAGTGCAGGGTACTTGTGTGGGGGGCCTTGCCTGCCTTGTCCCCATCTCCTTCTGGGCAGCTGCCCCTGGGAATCCCGTGGGGTGTCACGCGCCCCACACCCACCCCTGCCACTGTCGCGAAGACTCACCTGGGCCCCTGGCAGCAGGCGAGGGTCAGGTAGGTGGCCATGAAGACAGCGCTGGGGGGGAGGGGGAGAGAGAGAGAAAAAGGGGCTGTGGGGAGGTGGGAAAGGACAGTGCCCTGCAGACACACTGACCACCGGAGCATGGAGCCATTGTTCCCCACCCGCCCCCGCCCCTCTCACGGGATCACAGCAGCTCAGGACCTGGGGCCTGTGGGGCTGCACCCCCTCCCGCCAGCCAGGTGCACTCACTAGGACGCGTAGTACACGGCCACGTTGCGTCTCACGAACTCGCTGACCGGCCTCCTGGGGAGGGACGGGGGGACAGGAGAGGGGTCACACCAGGGCCTGCACCCCAGCTGTCCCGTCTCCCTTAGAGGACAAGCTCCCCCCACAACCCCCTACCCCCCAGCCGGGGACTCACACAAAGGTGAAGATGGCAATGATGCCCACGGTCACCAGGAGCTGCACCGAGATGATGGTGTAGACCTGGAACACAGGCGCAGGGACGCGGGTCACACCCGCTGCCTCCCCCACCCCAGTTAGCCCCCCACCCCCACCTCAAGGCCTGGGCTCACCTTGCGGATGAAGGTGTGTCTGACCTTCCGGTCGTCCCACTCGCCAGGCCCGAAGCTGTCACTCACGGCTCGCTCCCCATCATAGCCAGGGCCTGGGGACACACAGCAGGGGGCCCTGCTCAGGGCTGCAGCTGGCTCCCTCCGGCCACCAGCTGGCTCCCTCCGGCCACCCTGGGCCTCACGCTGCCTCCGCAGGAAGTGGGGGCCCAGCCCTGTTCCGAGTGTGAGTTGCCAATGCTGGCCCCCTGCCGGGGGTCCCAGCCAGAGAGGAAGCCGTAAGCCAGGTAATCAGAGTAGGCCCCCCCCAAGCAGTCTCAGTCTCAGGCCTCGGGCTGGGTGGGGGGGGAGGTGACCAGTGACCAGTGTCCACATGGCAGGACTCAGGGTTCCCCAAAGCTGCCTAAACCCACATGTATCCCCTCCCCTCCATCTCATCTTTTTCTTCTTCTTTTTTTTTTTTTTTTTTTTTTGCTTTTTGGGTCACACCGGGCAGTGCTCAGGGGTTCCTCCTGGCTCTGCACTCAGGAATCACTCCTGGTGGTGTTCAGGGGGACCATATGGGATGCTGGGAATCGAACCCGGGTCAGCCACGTGCAAGGCAAACGCCCTCCCCGCTGTGCTATGCTATAGCCCTCTCTCTGTTTGCTTTTGTTTGGGGCCATACCCAGTGGTGCTCAGGGGACCCTAAGGGGGGGCTGTCCTGTGGCTCAGACCCCCCATCCCCTTTCTTGACGCCCAGGGCCAGCGTCTGGCTCAGGTAAGGCTTCTCTCTGCCACGTAGACCCAGGCCCTCACAGCCACACCGAGGACCACGGGGCACTTGCGGAAAGCAGCGACCCCACCCCCAGAGGAGCTGCCCTGCACCCACTTCTCAGTGCTCGCTGTCCAAGGCCACGCTAAGGGGGCGGGAGAGGGGGGGTGCAGCAGCTCCTGAGTTAGGTCAGAGGCATCTGAGCTGGCTTAGTCACCCTCTCATCTGCCCGATGGGGGGAAGGGAGCTTGGGGGGCGGGGAGACAGGAGGGGGCGTGGCCTTGCCGGATACAGGAAGGCTGGCACATGATTTGGCGGTGGGCAGCAGGAAGGAAGGGAGCCAGAGAGACACGACAGGGGTGAAGGCACTGACCACTGGCCGTGCATGCGGCCAACCCCTGGCTCAATCCCCAGCACCACGAGGGGCCACTCCGAGGAACAGAGCCCGGCGGAGGAGGTCAGAGAGACAGGACAGTGGGTGGAGCATAAGTGCCTTGCGGGCGGCCAGCCCGGCTTCAGGCCCCGGCGTCCCCTGGGCACCGCCAGCGCTGATTCTTGAGCCGCAGAGCCAGGAGTCAGCCCTGAACGCCGCCAGGTGTGGCCCAAAAGCAAAACCCACAGAGCCAGGAAGTCCCTGGCCCTGCCCCACCCCCAAAGGTGTGGTTCAAACTCCCCACCCCCCCCCCCAAAAAAAAGGAAGGTAATAAAGATAAGGAACTAGAAGGTGAGATTCAGAGAGATGACAAGGACCGTGAGAAGGGAAGAGAGAGAGAGAAGCCCAGGGGTCAACCTTGGTTCCCCCACCCACCCCACCTCGCCCCTCCCCTCCCTCTCCCTTCCCACCCCGGACTCACCGAAGTTCATGGGCATCGGGTGGATGGGGGGCATCGGCTGCGGGTAGCCCGCGGGGTGGCCATAGCCAGGCTGTGGGTAGGCGGGGTAAGCCGGGTAGCCGGCTGGGGGCGCCGACGGCTGCCCGTAGCCCCCCGGGGGTGGGGCGCCGGGGTACAGGGGGTTCCGGTCCTCATACGGAGGCGGGGCGCTGGGCTTGGACATGGTCGCTCAGGAGTCGAGGGACGTCCCCAGCTGCTGGGACCTGGAACGGGAGTCGAGAAGAGAGGGTGAGAGTGGCCGGTGCTGTGTGGAGAGGGGACCCCGCCCTTCTCTGCCCATCCCCGCCCCCAGGACCCCAGGCCCTGCAGCGTCACACTGCAGGCTATTGGAAGATCACCTGGGGGGACTTCCCCTGCCCACTTGGGCCCTGGCACAGACCAAAGCACTCCTTGGTACTCGCCCCCACCCTACGAAAGTCAGCGCCTCCAGCGAGCCAGGGGAAGGCCCGGTGACCTCACAGACGCCCCCGTGACTCATGGGGCCACACGGGGCCAGCCCTGCCCTGACCCAACGGCAGCCACGGCAGCCACGGGCCCAGGCAGGCAGCACCGCGGAGGCTGGGGCAGGGCGTGCCTAGAGGCCGGGCCAGTGGGTGACAGCCACCGACACAGGCCGGCTGGAGACAGGACTTTCCGGTTCCTTCCACAGAGCCCAGCCAGAGAGGCGGGTGACTGCGAGTGGCCAAGACTGCTCGCTCACTCCTTGGAAGGGAGGCCTGTCAGGACAGGAGCAGCCCCTGGGAGGGGCGAGGCAAGCCTCAGGCCCCAGGTATCTGCTCTGCCGCTCCTCAGCGGCAGGGGAGTCCCCCCCGCCCCACAGGATCTGGGCAGTAAGGAGGGCTGAGGGGCCGGAGGAAACCCAGTGAGAGCTGGAGGGGACCTCGGGGTGATAGGGCCCGATTGAGATGTTGGGAGGAACCAGGAGGCATGAGCCCCGGGTGGCAGGAGGCCTGGGGCGCCGGCTGGGCTGGTGCCCACCCTACCAGGTCACGTCCCTTTATTTTTTATTAATTTAATTATTATTATTATTTGCTTTTTGGGTCACACCCAACAATGCACAGGGTTCCTCCTGGCTCTGCACTCAGGAATTACCCCTGGCAGTGCTCGGGGACCATATGGGATGCTGGGAATCAAACCCGGGTCAGCCGCGTGCAAGGCAAACGTTCTACACACTGTGCTATCTCTCCAGCCCCAGTTTTCTTTTTTTTTTTTTTTTTTGCTTTTTGGGTCATACCCGGCAATGCACAGGGTTCCTCCTGGCTCTGCATTCAGGAATTACCCCTGGCGGTGCTCAGGGAACCATATGGGATGCTGGGAATCGAACCTGGGTCAGCCGTGTGCAAAGCAAAAACGCCCTCCCCCCTGTACTACTGCTCCAGCCCTCAGGTCACAACCCTTTAGCCCTTTCCGCCAAACCAGTGTCCTCTGGGCCTGTTGTACCCCCTAGCCCCAAGTGGCCAGAGCCAAGTTCCCCAAGGGGCCCTGATCAGACGAGGCCTTGAGGGGCCAGAGCCATAGCACGTGCGGTTCCACAGCACTGACTGCGGTTCCATCCCTGAGCACTGCCCGGTGTACCCCCCCCCAAACCAAAAAGATGAAATTGAAAAACCCCGAGAGTCCGGGTCCCCCCCCTCTAATCCAGGTCAGTGGACACCTCGAGCCTTTGCTGGGAGAGACGCGGGCAGCAGAGGGATCAGATACAAGCTGGCCGCGGTCCTGCTGGCTGGGTCGGAGGGGACGCGGGCGGGCTCAGGTGACCCACAGGCTCCAGGCAGGGCGGTCCGACAAAGCCCATCCCCCTCCCCCCTTGTCCGTGTGGGCCAGGACATGAGCAAAGACTTGGCCGTGGGCAGCCAGCGCTGGGGAAGGGGGCGGTGATGGTCCCCCACAGGACACCCCTCCACCCCCGCGAGGTGAGAGGGAGACGGTTTGGGACTTGGGGCCTGGACCACAGTTCAGGGGTCGAGCATTTGCCTCAGGCGTGTGGGGGTCGCAGGCTCACAGCCCCACATTCGAGCCCCCGTGTCTCCACCCCAAAAATAAAAGTTTTGGGCTGATGTCATGAAAAACTGGGGCTGGAGTGATAGTACAGTGGGTAGGGCGCTAGCCTTGCACACGGCCAACCCAGTTTGATCTCCCGCATCCTATAGGGTCCCCTGAGCCACATCAGGAGTGATCCCTGAGTGCCGAGTTTGGAGTAACCCCCAAGCATCGCTGGGTGTGCCCCCCCCCCCACCAAATTAACATAATATGAGACCAGAGAGATAGTACAGAAGATAGGGCTCTTGCCTGGCACGTGACTGACCCAAATTCCATCCCTGAGGCCCCATGTGTTCCCCAAAGTAAAATAAAATGGGTGCATATCCTTAGGAGACTGTGAGAAGAGGCCAGAGAGAAAACACAGTGGTTAGGTGCCTGTCTGCATGTGGCTGGCTCTGGCTCAATCCCCCAGCCCTGCAGAGGGTCTATAAGCACTTTCAGAGTAATAACCCTGAGCACTGCTGGGTGTGCCCCCCTCCAAACACACAACACACACACACACACACACACACACACGTGAGAAAAACACATCAGAAGCTGCTGTTTTTCTCTCTAGGACCCAAGTCCCCTCCCAACAGCCCTCTTTTAGGTCTCTTAGGGAGTGACTCTGGCTTTCAGGAAAGGGCACATGGCCCCTTTAAGGGTTCCTGGCAGAGGACTGGCCCACAGCCTGCCTGTAGGAGCCCCAGGTTTCTAGCACCCCAAAGAGAAATTCAGGGGATGCTCACGGATGCCATCTCAGCCACCCGCTGGGGGCCTCCCTCCCCCCCCCCAGGCCCACGCCAGGCCACCGAACAGGAGTGTCCTGCGGGCGGCTCCAGGGTGGAGCGGTCAGCTGAGCTCTGAGCTCATGTCCGGCTGGAGGTGGCCGGCCCGCCCTCCTTCCAACAGGTCCTTCCAACAGGTCCCCCGCAGACCCCCGCTGCAGACAGGGTGCTGACTCACAGGCGCCCTCTGCCCCTCTTTGGCTGGGTTTCCTCAGGAGTCAGCCCAGCACAACGCCGGGTCACAGTCCAGTTCCGGGGACTGTGCTAGTCTCAGTGCTGGGCACTGGGGTGCTGGGTCCCCAGGGGCGTGGTATTCATGTCATCCCTGTGGCATATGGAGAAATCCCGGGGCTGGCAGGAGAGTACGGGGATCTGGGGCCTTGGCACTGAACCCTCAGCCCTGCTGGGTGGAGTGCCTCCCCCCAGAGTCCCCTGAGTATGGCTTGGAGAACAACCGCCCCCCCCAAAAAAAATTTTTTTAAAGAAGAAGCAGAGACAGATATCACTGTCACTATCCTCCCGTTGTTCATCGATTTGCTCGTGTGGGCCCAGTAACGTCTCCATCGTAAGACTTGTTGTTACTGTGTTTGGCATATTGAATATGTCACGGGTAGCTTGCCGGGGTCTCCGAGAGGGGCAGAGGAATCGAACCCGGCTCGGCCGGGCCAGCTGTGCGCAAGGCAAACACCCTACCACTGTGCTATCGCTCCAGCCCAGAGACAGATATAAAGATGCTTAATTATCCCGAGTGCAGCGGGGTCAGGCCAGCCTGCAAACCTGCTTCCTCTAGTCTCCGCTGACCCCTCGTCAGGACACTCCCACCGCTCAGCTTCTCATCACCCCGACTTCCCTCCTAAGGTCCTCTGGCAAAGGAAGGACCCGTGAACAAAGGCTGGGGGGTCATCAGGCACCCCATTCTCCAGCCCAGGGTCACGCCCAGGAGGAGAGGGCAGTAGGCACAGCTGTCAGGACCAAGAGAGAGCACAGAGGGAAGGGCACTTGCCTGGCATGGAGCCAACCTGTGTTCGATCCCCGACACCCGCTATGGTCCCCTGAGCCCCGCCAGGAGCTAGCCCTGAGAACTTATCCGGTACGCCCCCCCCCAAAAAAAATTTTTTTTTAAATCAGGTGAAGGGGGCTGGAGTGATAGTACAGTGGGTAGGGCATTTGCGGCCAACCCCGGTTCAATCCCGGGCACCCCCATATGGTCCCCCAAGCCCCGCCAAGGAGTGATTCCTGAGTTGAGTGCAGAGCCAGGAGGAACCCCATGAGCATCGCCAGGTAGACCCAAAAAAAGCAAATAAGTAAAAATCAGTTGAGGGCTTCCCGGGGGATGCGGAGGCTGTCGCGCAGGGAGGAGGGGTGGCTGTCCTGGGGCTGGGGGCCAGGGACCCTGCCCCAACTGTCAGTGCAGAGGTTGAGGGGAGCCACGGCTGGGCTCAGCCGCTGTCTGGGAGCCTGGGGGAAGGCCGTGCGCCCTGGCAGTTCAGAGCTGCTCTCTGGCCACTGCCCAGGCCACAGGAGTGCCCTGGCCAGGCGCAGCGGGGATGGATAAAAGGTGGGAGTGGAGAGAGCAGAGCAGGACAGGAAGGAGGGGAGCCGGCGCGAGTGGACCAGGAACTGGGGCATCGGGCTTCACTGGGAGCTCTGGGGGCTGACCATCGCCAGGGGACCCAAGGGCCTCCAAGCCTCACTGCCGGAAACTGGGAGGTCAGGGGACACTGGAGGCATTCATGAGGCGTTCATTCAGAGACAAGCCGTCCCCTGCAGACAGCCCCAAGCTTTTCTGTTTCGGTTTGGTTTTGGTTTGGAGGCCACACCCAGAGATGCTCAGGGGTTACTCAGCCTGGCTCTACACGCATGAATTAGTCCTGGCGATGCTCTGTGTGGGGGAACCCTGGCCTTACCTGCTGCGTTACCGCTGCAGCCCCCAGGCAGCCCAGATCTGGACAGCCAGCTTGGCTTCTCCCTGCTGCCGACATGTGCCTCGGAGCACTGGAGCACAGGCTTTGCATGTGGGGGCCCCAGGTCTGGTCCCCGGCACCGCCTGGTTCCCCTAAACCCTCCCCGAATGATGCCCCCAGATGCACCACTTGGAGATTAGCCACTCAACCACACCTGGGTGTGGCCAAAAGAAAATCCATTAAAAAAAAAAAACACCGCAAGCCCCACCCGAGTTTGATCCCAAGCAGCCCTTATGGTTTCCCAAGCCCTGCCAGGGATAATCCCCCTGCTCAGAGCCAGGAATATAGCGAGCACTGCCAGGTGTGGCCTCAAAACAAAAACGCCTCCAGGGCCTGAGAGATAGTGCAGCACAGAGAGGCACTTGCCTGGTACAAATCCACCACACTGAGTTTCCCTAAGCCGCGCCCACCAGGAGGGACCCCTGATCCCTC